GATAGTCCTCAAGTTACACCCATAATTAGCCATTCAATTGCTATGCAATGAGGGTGTAAAGCAAGATGTGTAGAGACTGCAATTCCAGGAAACCCCATTGCTGTGGTTAAGCAAATGTTATTGATCATTAGCTGAGGACCCTGCCAAATCCACTCAAGGCTTGGTCTGTCCCAATCTCAAGCCTCAGTAAGGAACTGTCTCCAACTCCCCCCCTTGCCTACCCCCCCCCCCATCACTGTCCTTTTGGCTATCCTTGTGAGATAGGCAAGCAGCCCCCAAACTGCCTGGCTCTAGGTTGGTTACTATGTTCCAGGAAGCCACAGCCACCCCAGATCAATCCCAGTTACCCTTGCTACCTGCCTCCAAGGCCACTGTTGCACTATGCGCCACCAACCCAGGTGACACCAATAGCACTTAGATGTACATACGCTTCATAGTACTTTACGGGCCTCTCTAAGCAGTTTACAGAGTCAGCATATTACACCCCAACTATCTGGGTCCTCATTTTACCGACCTTGGAAGGATGAAAGTCAACCTTGAGCCCGGTCAGGATCGAAATCCTGCTGGAAGCTGGCAGAATTAGCCTGCACTGTGGCATTCTACCCACAACGCCACCAGGGCTCTTCCCTGCCTTCTTGCTTCCATTGCTGACTGCCTGGAATGTTTGTTGGGCCACGCTGGGGCTGGTTTCATCTTGTGAAAAAGAAAAATTCAGACTGCTTTTGGCTTTTTTTTTTATTTTTCACAGAACGACGTCAACTTCAGGCCGGCCCAGCCCCAGAATGCCTCATCAGCAGTGGTAACAAGTTGGCGGTGAAGACAAACAGGCTTGGCAGGGCAACAGGAAGCCAAAAGGGCAGAAGATAGGCCTGCAGTAGTGTGGGCGGGCTGTCAAGCACCTGAATTTTCATCATGTGACCACACAGGTGCTGCAATGGCTATAACTTTAGGTATGGGCCATAAGTCTCTTCGTTCAATGAAGTTGAGGACGGTCTGTATTTTGATGCAAGGGAAAACAAAAATACTTGTCCAGCCAGCCCACTATTTCCAACAAGTTAAAAACGTGGTAATATAAATTTTAAACACACGTACTGAATTGGGTTTACAATATCAACAGGGACTAAATAACAACTCCGACCTTTCCCAAGCTGCTTTATTTCCCAAATTTTCGTTCTAAAAATTTTAGCTATATGGTTCCTCCCCCCCCCCCCCCCCCCCCCCCCCNTTCCCCCCCCCCCCCCCCCCGGCTCTGTCTAATAAAAGAGTGTGAGCTCAGTGCAATTCTATCTATGTCTTATTTACTCAATCCTTACACAAATCCAAGTAAATGTGTTCGGGGCTATTTCCCCAGATGAGATTTATAGCACCTTCAAAAGTCAGCCAACCACCAGTGTGTCAAAATAATAATAAAGCAAATAGCTATATATCAGTTTAGCAATGGCTGGGTGATGTTATGAAGTGCCATAAATTGCTACTGGAGAAATGGCCTAGAGCTGTTGCTTCAATTGCCCTCTTAAAGTGGACATTACCAGTAATATATCTGAAGAACAGAGGTGTTATCTTGTCAATTAAACGCCAGGCTTCATATATTAAAGCAGGAAACTATGACCCCTTTATGACCTGTGGACTTCAACTCCCAGCATTCCATGCTGGCTCAGGAATTCTACCTCCACAGGTCGTAAAGAGGTCATAGTTGCCCATCCCTGTATTAAAGTAAGGGGGGGTTCCTCCAATTCTTATTTGGAGCTTCTTCTTTAAGGCTTACCTTCTTCTTGTTGTGTGTAGGCCACTTCCAAATAGACACCTTCTAAAGTTGCTAGGGAAAACACTTTTCCTCCTTTAATTACAATTTTGGGGCTGGAAAAAAAAATCCAGAGAAGCGTCAGATAGCAGCTAATCTCTTTCTTGCCGTCTAGCAGTTCTCTGAATTTTTGCAGCTAAGGGCTATCCTAACAAAAGTTTCTTAAAAATCACAAAGAAGTGGGGAAACGTGAACGTTACAAATCAAAGAACTCATCATCAAGATTCTCCCTATCCAATAAAATGCTATGTTTGAGACAGGACAAGTATGCAATGCAAGCTGAATTAGAACTCTATCTACCGATGGTCATAAAATATAATTTCCCGAAATAAAAACATAAAACTCTAAATACACTTTAAGGAATCAGCTTTTTCTAATAAACTCTGTTCTTCAAATGTGTGATTTCAAATGCAACACTGTAGGTAGTCCTCCATTTACAGCCATTTGCTTAGTGACCGCTTCCCAGCTGGCTTCCAACAAGCAAAGTCATTGGGGGAAGCCGGATTCACTTAATGACCGCATGAATCACTTAACTGCAGAAATTCCCTTAACAACTGTGACAAAAAGGTTGTAAAAGGGGACAAAACTTACTTAACAATTGCTTTGCTTGGCAATTTTGGGCTCTGCTGTGATTGTTAAGTTGAGGAATACCTGTATAGGAAATATTTCCAATAATATGTAAGTTTGGGGACTACATTAAAGTGCTGGCGCTCTGAAGATACCCTGTCCACCAAGGAGCCTCCAGAATGATACAAACAATGCCATCAAATATTCCACCCAGATTACACCATCGGCAGCAGTCAATTACAGAGATGATTCTACAACAAGCTCCCTGCTTTTGCTCTTATAGAGCATGTAATACTATGGTAGGAAATGAACCTTTTGTCTGGCCAACATGGATACGCCTTCCTTGCTGGTTCTGACTGTCCTTTCCACCTTAACTCCAAACAACTAAAGGGCACTGCAACTCCACAGCCCATTGACTGTCTATATAAGCAGATTTGTGCTGGAATGCTGGTCTCCGTTATGAGGTAACATTCATGACCTGAGATTTGATGGTCAAATACAAAAATGTCTACTTTGCAAGTATCCAGTATGTAATGGGAAACGCGTACGCCACTTTTCAATTTTCTAATGTTTGAAGAGTTCCTCATAGAGCCTCAAAATTGATTTAACGTCATGTATAATTTGGCATTCTGTGTGCTAAAATGAAGGCCTCTGATATGTGATAAACCTCATGCCCTATGCTTTGATGGTTAAATGTGAGTATTTCTGTTCCAGTTACCTGAGTGCCTTATGATGTGTATATATTTAAAATATTTCTGAAGAGTAGTGTGCTCATTTGGAGGAAAATATATATATATATGCCACGCTTCAATTCTTTTAACTGTCTAAACATACCTTAAACTTAGTGGAAAAAGGTACAGAAGTGTCCTATCCAATTCTTTCATTTGCTCTATCCTAGCAATCAGGTATATCAGTTATACGGACATTATTTTATCTTTGTCAAACTAATGTAACCTTGGTTCATTTCACATTATTGGCATAGCCCTTCTTAATATAGCTATTTGTGCACTTTTTCTTTGTACAATTTGTTTAGAGCTCACTCGTATGTTCTGCTCCCTTTCTAGTACTTCAATCTTGCCTACTTTAAAAATCTGTTCCTCAAACAGCCATTCTTCTGCAGAAATATGAGTGTTAAAATCTTGTGTTAAATATATTGGTCAGAAGGTTCTCTCTCTGTATTCCTTACTACCATTTTGTAATTATTAAAAGCATTGTGGAAAATAAACACCATGCTTGCCACTTTGAGAACAATCTGAGATGTGAAGTGTATGTTATATTGTGCGATGCTACGTTTTCTGACATTTCTAGACCTGACGTTCCTTTACTGACCAAAACATCTCCTTGGGGATGTCTTTATGAAGTTCTGGCATGCCAGAGTTTTTCCATCCTTTTCAATAAGGACACACCCTATGCATACAAATGGCTGCATGTGGTCAGTGCTGCTTTTTCACTCCAGGAAAGAAGGAGAAGCAGGAAGTCCAGATAAGGGCTGCAGCACATTCGAGAGCAGGATCCTGGTGGAAGGCCAACAAAGCATAATTATCACGGTTATACTACTTTTGATGGAAGAGGTTAAGGATGTTTGGTGGATATAATTTTCAGACTAAGAAAACAGTACACCTCATTCTATAACACGATGAAGAGAACAGGTCATCATGGTTCAGGAATTCACATGCCAAATAAGCACTCGAGACTTTGGGGAAGCCTTATCATAATACTGCTCCTCTTGTGCTTTGGCTGGATTAAATCTCTTTCTTGACTATAAAGCAGTGTGAATGATGTCACATTATTCTTTTCCTGTGAAACACATTCAACTTTTAATACGTTTAATGCACAGAATAAAATCCAAATATAAACACCTCTTTTTAACTCTTTGCAAGGTTATTATTATTATTATTATTATTCTTTTGACAAACCAGGACACTAGATGGATGGGATTCTTGTGCCTGTTTTCATCCTTCTGCAAATTATCTAGCTGAACCGGACTTTCCTTGTTGAGGCAAAGCCGAAAGCTCTAATCTCATCTTCAGTGCTAAGGTATAAGGAACAGGAGAGATATCCCTTTCCTAGTTCTCATATACTTAGATCTGTGCCATCACAGACTTGGAACATGCAGAAGACCCTTCATGCATAAAGCTGTACACACCAAGAGCATTGTTCACACCTTCCAGGTTCACTGAGTGAAAATCCACTTCATCTGTGCTACAGAACATGCATTCATTTCCACCATGTTTTCAAAACATGCCTGCCTTCACTTCTAGTTTATTTCAAGTTGCTGAAATAGTTTCATATGATCTAGCAAATGCAAATGCAAAAAAATATCAATGCAATACAGGTTTGCTGCAATATATAAGCGGGGGAGAAAAAAATCCACTGATTTTTTTTTTTTAATGGAAAGGATTCGAGCTTTTCCATTAATTCATTATTTTTGGCACAATTGACTACTTACATTTGGTAGTCTGAAATAAATACATTAATATTATTTATTCTAACCGTATCTATAGCTATATATAAATTCACCTTCCAGTAAACAAGTACTAGAGATTTTTTTTTAAAATATTTTTTTTGCTTATAATGATTTTGTAATTTACTTTCTCTTCATTTTATTTAACTTTTTTTTTTCACTGACTGCAACATGCTCAGGTTGACTTTCCAGTCAATTTCACCCAAATTCCAACAGGAATTGGTTTATAAATTGGTTCCAACTGGAACTGGTCATTTGGAATTTCCGTAACAGGAAATTATCATATGTGCGCTTCAACAGGTATTCTACGTTACAAATTGATGTGTCTAATTATATCTAATGGAGAGAAAAGATAACAGTTTGAAATGAAACATTACCTGGGAAAGAAAACACATCTAAGTGTTTGGGCAAACTCGTTTCTTTCTAAATGGAAAGGGCATTATCTATCTCAGTGTTTCTCTACCTCAACAACTTTAAGATGAGTGGACTTCGCCTCCGGGAATTGTTTCCTTAAATTCTTAAATTTGCTAATGTTGAGAAACATTGATCTACCCTCTTTTGCCCTTCTAGAGCACGAAATGACAGCAGCCTGTAAGCATCAAGATGCTTTGTTTGGCCTAGCTATGTTACAACAGCAGGTGGCCAACCAATGAATACCATTTGCCCCCAGGTTTGTCAATTCAAAGCCTCTGTCGGGAATCATGGCTATATCCTCCAGGAGATCCCCGGTTTCTTTGAGGTTTGTATGAGTCTTGATACGAATCAGAATACTCTTCTTCCACCAGAGGATAGTGATCTCGGCTGTGTTGGGAACTGGAAGACAAGCGGTTCCTGCTCTTCCGAGCTCTTTCGTTGTGGTAATTTTCATCCGAGGTCATTAGACTTCGTCGTTCGATTGGAGAATTCTCGGTAGAATGGTTGCTATGCCTCAGACGTTGGCTCTATAAATAGCAAAGCAGTCAAAAATTAAAAAAAGGGGGGGGGTTGGATTTCATAAGTTTGTGTCACTCTTCTGAATTTGTTGCAAGTTTGTCCTGAAATCGTTCGTTTAGCAGATAAACTGGCTGTTATTTAATATATATATTTAAGCTCACCATCTGCTTTCAAAAGCTGAGGTAAAAAAACAGCAGAATGTGGTGCCTTGATTTAATTTTAAATACTTGGCAATGAGAACAAAAAGAAACACATCTCAGGTATACTGCCTGATGAAAAATTTAAAAGCCATCTTTTAAAATTTCAAAATGAGGCCTACCCTGAACAAACTCTTAAAACAGGCTTCTGTTGATGTTCTAAATTAATCTGCTTTTCTTTCCATGCTTTATAGAAGATCTGAAATATTTCACTGCTCAACTCCTGCCCTGTACTACTTAACTTACCTTCACCTACAATTGCTCTATCTATACTGCATGAATTGATATTTACATCTCTTAATAGTGGATTATGAGTAACTTCCTTATCTCCAAATTCTTCAAATCAAAGGTATAATCCTTGAATGAGGGCTGCAATATATCACTGCTATTTTCCTTCTGTTTGCTGAGAATTCTAGAATTAAGTAGGTGACAGATAAGCAAAGCAATCTTATTTCCCATCTACTAAAATCTGGAGTAACTACAATGGCTAGTACTAGCTCCCAGATAACCTGCAGACACTGTAGGCATGTTTAATATGATTTGCAAGCTGGCCCAAAGGCTCTTATTATTTAGTATAAAAACTAAGACTCACTGCCCTATATTGAGAAACATATATATGGTCCTAAATGTGTTATAATTGATCAGCATCTCTGCAAGAAGTTGCAAGCTTAAAAAGCCTAGGTCAAGGCCTTCATAAGATGGTATGAAACAGCCTTTGTAAACCGACCAAGATCTAAAATTCATTCCTTGGGAAAACAGATTAACAAGTGAATGGAACTGGGGTAGGTGTGGGGATTGTGCTAATGCCATCTAAGTGAGTTTGCTTTATCTACTTCATTTGCCCTTGCTTAGGAGCAAAGTTCAAAAGAAGGGACTGGCCGACACAAACAAGATGGAAAATGAAAATTTTCACAGTTAAAAAAAAAAAAAAGCATGTTTCCACAGAACTCAAACTGTTGCTTGCACAGTCAGTCACTCACGAAGCAGACACAACGCTACGTGTAGAACCTGGCCTTAAAATATTACACATAAATTCAAAAGTTAAATATCTTCTTCCGCATCCATGCAGTGACAGAAAAAAACAGAGCACTTAGATAGTGAATGAGTATATTAAAAGCCATCATTTTGATCAGCAGATTGAGTTTGGGGATTTGCTTAATTCTCCAACTGACATTCAGACTATGGGAAGTGTAACATGTTGTAAAAGCCAGACACACTGTGCTGAGTTGTTTAACGACACTGGCCTCCGTGCATTCTCTGTGCACTTACAAACATAGACAACTTCAACTGATAAGACATTTTCCCCCCAACTTAGTAAAACACGTACTTCTGATTAAGGACTATTTACATGCCAGGTTTGAAGTGTCAAAGGCCCGCCGTTTTTGAGCTATCCCTGTGGAAAAAAATGTTCAGAATCTTTTTATAATTGGAATAATATTTTATTAATCATTAAAAAAAATCAGAACAGATGAACCAATTTTTCTGAACGGTTACCTCGAAGAAGAAATGAGGCAAACTACACTAGAGGCAGGGCATTAGCATCATTTTAATACACAACTTTTGTGAGCTGATCAACCTGGAGAAAATACTGAAACCAATCTATTTGGAACAACTGTAACAATTGGTGGCACATATCTGACATGTTTATCTTTTTAAGATTTTTTTGTGCAGGTTTTTTTCATGATAAAAAGGGAGAATCTGGTTATGTTCCATCCCCTTTGATTTACATACAACGATCTTAATGTTACTCATATTCTATTTGTATTAAACAAAACTTCCCAGAATTAAAGATCAACCGAAGTAGCTATGTTTTATTTTTCTTAGCTAATAAGATCAGTTAGACCAATGCATATATCTGTGCATTACCTGTTGGTTGTGGCATTATAATGACATAGAAGGAGTTGTAGATTGATCACTAAATATTTATATCACTTGTTCACTCTGCTTTTCAAGAGACACATCCAGTCAAGATTCATCATATATTGAGACACTAAATAGTGTTACGATTGTTGCATACAGATCTAGAAATATATCCCCCCCGGAATCCAGTATCATACAAAAGGAATTTACACATCTGTCACATCTGATTGTATTTTGTTAATACTTTCTAGTGAATTAATTGATGTTCACAGGCAGGCATATTTTCACCCAACTAATTGTATTCCAATGGAACAAACCCACAGAAAGCATTCGAAAGCACTGTGTGAGGCTCATACAAATTACAAAGTACAGGAGATTCCCATATTTTTTTTTCAATTATCAAGTGCTTTATACCAATTAATGGAAGTAACCTCATCTTTAATGGAAAATGGGTCAGAGTCACTTAGTTCAGTTGGGCAGCTATAGAAATTAAATAGACAAACAAAACCATTGTATGTTTAAATCTCTAGGCACACTGGTTTTCGGCTCCAATACAGGATATGTAAGTGCACACCACCAATGACAAACTCATGGATTCATACCTGTAATCCAGAGATCGCTGTAGGGTAAGGGGATAGTGCAGTGGAGCCTAGGTTTCTTCCAAGCAAAGGTGTCATAGGTGTGCTACTGGTAGTGTGTGTAGCACGCCAGTACGCCTCAAGGTATTCTGCCAAGTGTTCACAAGCATCTTCAAGTTGGTTTTCATCCAGAATAACGTCAAACATTTCCTGTTCAGAAAATAAGCATTATATTACGTCATTATCCAACACGAACTAGGAATGGTGATTTAAACAAAACTCTGATTTCAAATATGAGTAGCAAGTTGGTTAACCTTAATTCACCACCAAATCCAAACCTAACTCTAGACTACCCATTGCAGCCCCAATGCAGCCTCAAACTGGTAGTCTTCACTTAACGACTGCTCATTCAGCGATGGTTTAAAGTTATGTCATTGCTGAAAAAATGAAATTTATGACTGGATCTTGAATTTGTGGCCATCATAGGATTCCCTCAGCCATATGATCAGGATTCGGGCACTTGGCAACTGATGCACATTTACAATAATCACAGTGTCCTGCAGTCCACGTTATTGCCATTTGCAACCTTCACAAACAAGGTAAATGGGAAGGCTAGCGGGAAGTCACAAGTTGTAGTCGTATGATGTCACACTTAAAGACAGCACGTGATTTGATTCATGACCACAGCTTGAACAGATGTCCTAAGTTGGTTGTGGCCATGTGAGTCTAGGCAACGCTGTATGTTTTATATAATACACACACACACATAGGAATTGCAAAGTGCAATACATGAATGGAATCCAAAAATAATGCCCATCAGTTGTGATGGTTCAAAAAATGGTTGCAAGCAAACATGGTTGCAAGCATTCCTTCAGAGGAATCCATGTACAGTTATAACTTTATGTCTGGCCTTGCTCCCTCCTGGTGGAATCCATGCAATATGTATTAATTTTTTTAAAAAATGTATATGCAACTTGCTTTGCATACATAACACGATGAATGTGAAAAGAGCAGGATCTCCTCTGCGCAGAAGCGAGGTTAGCTCCATCCTTCTTAACATTATGCAGGTACGTCAAGACCTTGCTATGTTCTCAGGCTTGAGGGTCCAAGGGGAACAGGGAGATGTTACCCTGGCTCCTCTACTGTGGCTAATATCATTCCTCTCTTGTTTCATGTGGGATTTTTTTAGCTAGTTTTTAAATAATGGTGTTTTTTAATTGTATTTATTCGTTTCCTTTTTTAATCAAGTACTGCATAGTGCCCAGAGTCACACTGTCTTGTGAGATGGGCGTCTATACAAATATGATAAGAGCCGTGGTGGCGCAGTGGTTAGAATGCAGTATTGCAGGCTAACTCTGCCCACACACCAGCAGTTCGAAGATCCTCAAGGTTGACTCAGCCTTCCATCCTTCTGAGGTCGGTAAAATGAGGATCCAGATTGTTGGGGGCAACAGGCTGACTGTGTAAAACCGCTTAGAGAGGGCTGTGAAGCACTGTGAAGCAGCATATAAGTCTAAGTGCTATTGCTATAATATTCAAGTGCATTTCTATTGTTGATATGAGGCCATACTGGTGCCATACTAATACAGAAACCTTTTACTCAGTTCTCATCTGTTGGCATAACATCCGAGGATTCAGGACCTTTAAAAGGGGGGCAGAGACAGCTCCTGTTTTTAGTATTTCCTATGTTTGTGTAGCTTGCAGTCCCAAAATGCAGGTAAGAAAGAGCTTTGTTATCCTCTTCTTTTGGGTTCTGGGGTTTTTGTTCTTTTTCCTAGCACAATCTCAGGGTTTTGGAGGTCTAGGTGGCAGGCCATTTATCTATCCTTTCTTAAAGCAACAGTGCAAATAACTGTATGTTGTTCTGTGAAAGAAAGAAGCTTGGATCCAAGAATAAAACATCTTCTGCTCACAGAAGGGCTGTTTGTTTCAAACCTAACAGAAAACTATTCTATGAAATCTGTGTTATGCAATCCACAGAAAATGTTTCCAATTTCTGTGGATTAGCCTCATATGCCAGACTCTTTATCCTCTTATTCACCTGGATCCTTATAGTTTAACACATTTTTTCTCCTCTGGTGTTCTCCATATCTGTACAGACTACAACTCCCAGAATTCCTGACCCATATCTTTCACTAGCAACAAATTATGAAAGCTTGTAGTCTCCAAACATGTGGAGCTTACCAAATTATGGAAGACAGTTATAACTTTATCCTTGATATACTGTCACATTTTTCAGATAGAAGTCTTCCATATGCCCTGGAGCGAGAATTTACAAGCCAAATTAATAGTTAATCTTCCAGTAACAATTAGAACTCTGAAAGAAAATGTTGGCAACAGAAACTAGTTTTGTAATAGCTGTTTTTAGAATAACAGCGGATATCTTTTATAATGTGCAAGATAAAAGAATGAGGACATTTAGAGTACAGTATAACAAAAATGTTATGCTGCTTTTAAAAACTCTTTCTATACACAACTCCTACATCAGGACATTGTGTGTAATAAATGCTGATGCTTACAGCATTTGCATAATAAGAGCTGATCTTAGCATCAGCATATACTGCCACTATGAAAAATTCATAAGGATTTGGAGCTGATAAATGATTCTTAATTATTAATATTCTACTTCAGAATCTAGGTTTACAATACAATGTAAATTAATGAAGTTAAAACCCTTGTGCTGTATGTTAAAACGTATCCTCTGTTCACAAGCATACACAAACTTGCCAGATATACAGAAAGAAATTTGGTATATAATGTACTGTATAGATCAGTAATGGCAAACCTTTTAGACACCGAGTACTTAACCACCACCCCCGCCCACCTGTAGGGCCACCTACTGCCTCCGCGGCCCGCCGCAGATCGCCCAGGTGGCTCTGCAACACCATGGCGGCCATGGCCTCCATCCGCACCTTGCAACATCATCTGTGCGCGTCTTGTCCCCACTGCCCAGCTGCCATGTCCTTGGCTGCACTGCTCCACACGGGCCATGCCCGGGGGCGACTCTCCTCCGGGGGGGGCTACTGGTGAGGAGGGGGCCACGGGGGGAGGCAGAGCTGGGGCAACAGCGCACGTGCCCACAGAGAGGGGTCTGTGTGTCGCCTCTGGCACGTGTGCCATAGGTTCGCCACCACTGGTATAGATGGATTCAAAAACCAATATTCTCAGTGGATCTAGTATGTGTAAAAGAAACTATGCGTCAATAAATAAGTACAGGTAGTTCTTGACTTATGATCACAATTGTGATTAGAACATCCATCACTAAGCAATAAGGTCTTTAAACAAGTTGCCCCCAATTTTATGACTCTTTTGCTGAAGTCATTAAGCAAAGCACACGGCTGTTAAACAAATCCAGCTTCCCCCATTGAATTTCCTTGTTGGAAGCCCCCTAGAAAGATTGCAAATGGTGATCACATGACCCCAGGATGCCGCAACTGTTGTAAATTATTGTTGGTTGCCGAGCACCTGAATTTTGATCCTGTAACTGTAAGGACACTATGACAATCTTGGAGGTGAGGACTGGTTGTTAAGTGATTTTTTTTTTAGCAGTGTCATAACTTTGAACAATCGTTAAATGAACAGTATGTACTGTTTTAATCTGGAAAGGGTGAAATCAGTGAACCAATAATATATCAACTGGGAAAGTCAGTATAGGAGAGAAGTTTCTTTAAAAACTCTCTAAAGATTGATTGTTGATTTCAGCAGTTGCCAAAGATTTTACATATGAGTTCCTGAGCAATGTCGGCTTTCAATCCTGCTGTGAATAAAACTACAAGAAAGACAAAAATACAGATGCTCATGGTTTCACGGACACCTTGTTGCTCACTCAGAGCATACACATCTGCTGGTTTTTTTTTCAAAATACATGTATCTTATTGTTACGTTATTACATAACATACTATTATGAGCCGTGGTGGCGCAATGATTAGAATGCAGTACTGCAGGCTAATTCTGGTGATTGCCAACAGTTTGGCAGTTCGATTCCCACCGGCTCAAGGTTGACTCAGATTTCCATCCTTCCCAGGTCGGTAAAATGAGGACCCAGATTGCTGGGGGTAATATGCTGACTCTGTAAACTGCTTAGGGAGGGCTGTAAAGCACTGTGAAGTGGTATATAAGTCTAAGTGCTATTGCTATTATTTATTAATTTTTTTATGCCGCCCGTCTCCCCTACAAGGTGATTCTGGGTGGCTTACAAGTTATAAAACAAGTAAAAAATAATTAAAACATTAAAACTACACCGATCAAAGTATTACTATAAACTGTACTAAAAGCCAAACTAAGAGAGTTAAGGTTTATGGGTAAAGCCACCTTACTTTTCATCTGTCTCTCTTCTGCATTAGTAATTCAGATGGTTTCATTACATTCAAATAGTTTCGTGGATGTTCACGCAATGAGAAGCACAGTTAACCCTTTTCGTTTTCAGTTTAGTTATTAATTATATTGTTTGAACATCAGGCACTCGTCTTGCATTTCATTACAATAAATGCAGAAACTATGGAAAATTACTTAATAAGGAAAATGTAATGCACTGGACCTCACAGAGGTCTTCCATTTTCCTAGGGCACATTTCTCTGGTGTTGTGGGTAGAAAAGTAGTGGGGCTGTTAAAGAAACAAACAGTAAGTGCAGTTGCCAGCATGCCCTGGCCGTGATTTTTGGCTGTAGACGGAAAGAGGAGAGCTTCTTTGCCAATGATCAGCTGTCTTTTATACGGGTAACTCTCTTCTCCCGAAAATAAATTTATTGGGAAATAAAGCAGTGTTACATTAATACAAAAGATTCTGCTATCTCTATATTTATATTTATAATTTTTTAAAAATGCAGTCCTGAACTTACTGGCGGACACTGTGCAAGTTTATCTGCTGCAACCAGCTGAACATTTAAATGTTTGCTTTGTGACTTTCCTCTTGACTTGATCAGTCGCTGTAAAACCTGAAAAAGACAATGCAAAGTAATAGTCAGGTTGTTTCATGGCTGTCAAAACTGTTTTTCAATGACAGTTTGATACTTTGCATTTTATGCTTCAGCTATTAAACTCGAAAGCTTGTTGCGTCTCTATATAACTTTGTCCTCCTTTGCTAGAATTCTCAGTGTTGTTGCTGAATCTGTGTACATTACGGTCAAATTAAGTCTGAGTAAATCCTGCACCAGGGGAATGGATCCTCTTGGAACATGCTATCTACAAAGACCACTGGCTGAACTCTTATCTAGGCCTAGACTAGTATTTATTAGCATTTAGTTTAAGAGCAAAAACCAGGTGCTTTGCAAAATACCAAAATAAAATAATTTTATCCGTATGATCTGACCTCTACACTTAAATGTGATTCAAAGGAAAAGCAGAGAAGAAAGAAATGATATCAACAGGATGATTTCAGACATATTTCACCAAAGGAAAGGAGTTTGCATTGAAAGTTGAAGGAAAATGAATAGTTGAATGAGTAGCAAAGTACATTTGTCTTAAGATCAGAAGACAAGGCAGTGGAAAATAAGCTCTTCTTTGGGAAAAAATAATAATCCAATCCCATAGCATTCTCCACCACAGACCAGAATATTTCCTGAATATCATTTATGGTGGTTTCTAATCAAAGGTATATTTTCTCCACTTTTATATTAAGTCAGTATAAATCAGTCAAGTTCCAAGTACCTCTCAAATGTCTATTTTTAGAGGCACATCACTTGTCCTCTTTCATGATTTGGATTAAATATTGTTCAAGGGCTACTAATTCCTTTGCATTCTTTCTCTAGAACCTAACAATTACTCATGGATTTTCTTTTCTATACATGCTCGTGCGTCCAAAATTTCTGGTCCAACATTGTTTTGAATTCATCATTTTAATGTTGTCTTTCCCTGCCAATAACCTAGATGTTGTAAACAAAGAAATATCAGCTCATAGTTTATGCCCATCATCATCATTAGAGCAGTGGTGGCACAGTGGTTAGACTGCAGTATTCTTCCGACTGCCATCAGTTCGATCCTCACCGGCCCAAGGTTGACTCATCCTTCCATCCTTCTGAGGTTGGTAAAATGAGGACCCAGATTGTTGGGGGCCATAGGCTGACTCTGTAAAACCGCTTGGAGAGGGCTGTAAAGCACTGTGAAGAGGTATATAAGTCTAAGTGCTATTGCTATCATGATTCTACTAGCAAAATGTAGGGACTGAGGTCATGTAAAGTTCGTGAGCAGCAAACTGCCTCGGTTCAAATGCATGATCTCACCCCGTTCATATCGCCATGGTGATGTAGGGAAATACCCCAGGCTGGTACATGATTTCACCTGGTTCACATGATCTCACCGCGTTCACATCAACAGGATGTAGCAGAAAACTGCCCCTGGTTGGTGCCCCTGGCTGAGATATTCTTAAGGATTGACAAGGAGAATCTACCAATAAAAATGTCTGTTGCTATGCTGTTGTTATGTTACTTTATGCTGCTTGGAAAACTGTATAAGAGAATAAACACTGCGAAGGCAGTAAGATCATTTCTGCACCCTGCAATGACTGGTCTCTGATTCCATCAGCAAAACTATCCTAACCTAAATGCTAATTGGATGTGACAAGTACTAAGTAATGTCACAGGCTATAAACCTTGCAGTATTCCTAGAAAACCATGTTACAAAAAGGCAGGAGATAAAAGCCCATGCTGTAGAAAAACAAAACCAGAGAGGGAAACATAGTAAATAGGAAGCTAAGAAAGACGCGACCACTTTTTGAACCTTCTCCATGAGTGTATCCCTAAGAGAAATCCAATATAAGAAAGTATGTCTTTACTCCTTACCAAATTATGCTTTTTCATTCTAGATCAGAGATACATCATCATCGTCATCATCTGCAAGGAGAAGGTTTGTCCTCCTCGTAAGCAGTCCAAGATTTTATCTAAACATACTTGAGTACTGTTTGTTACCTCTGAAGAATAACAATATTTCACATGTGAAAACAAACTGTGATATGTCCGGTGTTTTGTTTTAGCCAATTAGGGAGCTCCTGAATTTCCTCAGGGATTCTGATTGATCCTTTTCACCTGTTGATTATCTTGGTCCTCACTGTGCAAATTCAAGCAGATCTTAGCGTAATGAAAATGATCTTGTTGGGACAGGAAATGAGCTGAATAGTATGACAATTGCTAAGTACATAACTTAAAGTTATTTCATTATTCTTAGTAAAAAAAAATATTCATTTTAAACCAAGAAAATATTTAATTGTAGGGTGTTCTATAAGCAAAGCCCCATTTAAAATATTTCAAATAATATTATTTACAGAATATGCATACAGAGTGAATGAAGCCTGAGTTCTGCCAACTTTTTCAGAGTTGGAAGAAAACTACATCAGTCTGTTGCAAATCTCTATTTTGTCTGAGCTAAGTTGCCAGCAATATTCTTTCCTTTTTTTCTATTGGCAAATACTGACTTCTAGTTTTTTCTGTGCTCTGTTAGGGAAGCACTGATGGGGTAGCAGAGTAGTCACATCATTCCACCATTTCAATCTTGTGCCAAACTGATAAAAGGCTACAGAACTAAAATACGTACTACATGCTGAGCAGCCCAGCTCTACTGCACAATTTTGATAGGCTGCTGGCAAAGCATGACTCTATCCAGCTCTTTTGAAAAACAGAGGAATAATGGCAGATGAAGCTGACCTGGGACTGGGACACAGAGTGTCTACATTAATGAGATTCCACTATTACATTACAGAGGTGGATTCTGATCCCGCCTATTACTGTTCACTTGACATCCCCTCCAGTGTAATACATGGTGAAACATAACAGATTTTACAAATCTTCAGCTGCCCTGGGGTGTTGTCTATTGAAGAGCGAAATAATGTCTAAGGACAACTTAAAGCTACATTATCTCAATCATGGGCTAGAGATGAGATGCAGGCAACATGCCACGCACACAGCAAAGAAAAATATTTCTACAAGGACAGGTATGAATGGAGAAAGGCCAAGAGACAAAGAGGCTAACCTTTGGAGATGACACTTTAACATGGACAATAATTGGAGCTAACGATGTCTTAATAAGTTGTGCAGGGTGGTTGATTGTATCTGCATCTAGAACAACCAATTGCAAGGATCGTGCCAGTTCAAAAATTCGTTCAATCTCACTCTGTACTTCCGCTGAAAAATGAAAACAAACAAACAAACAAACAAACAGAAAACATGAGTAATATATTTTGGAACAAACCAAAGTACTTGTATTTACACATAGACACCATTTTAGCTGGACTTGTAATTTCTGATACTGAAGCTTTTGATCTCATCCCTAGTTCTAGGTAACTAAAATAAGACACAGCATTCTTTGAAAAGTTCGAAGTTGTATGGAGAGAGAATGAAGCTTGAGAAGTTTCATTCTCTCTCCTTAACTTCATATACAGTATTTCCACTATGGAGAAGATCCACCTAATATAGAGATATGCCTTCTAATCACTATGTATTTAACATCAATAATGCAAAACTGAACTAAGAAAGAAAACAAATAATGAGCTACAATTATAGGATGGGTGGTAAAAAAAAAAGAAAAAAATTAGCATCTACATACTTTATCCTGTACCAAACATTACCTCTCCCACTAGCTTCACCTACATGTTAAATAAAATAGGGAGTGAAGCAACCTTGGTACTGGAGTCCCAGGGGCTCAATCTCTCCTCTCCTGTTATTCCCAATTGAAATTGCTTCCTTAGGGAGCAGAACTACTATAATAAAGTGCTCTCAATTCCCAACCCTCACAGTGACACAAAAGAACACCATGATTGATGACACTAAAGCCCACTAGGAGATCTAGTAGACTAAGGGTCATCCACAAGAATTGTAAATGTGGTTTCCATCCCATGTTCAGGGCTAAAACTGTTGCCCAACAATATAAGCAATCTGATTTTCCAGAATCCTTGGTAATGCTGAGCTACCATCTTCCTCTGAAAGGGGAAGTTAGGAATAGGACAGTTTTTGCCCAAAATTGCTGGTCCAAGGCAGGCCTCTCGAGGACTTGAAGGAGTTAAGGGCTCCCACTGTCTTGATCCAGCTCCTTGTCTCTTCTCTTGGGAGAATCAGAGCATGGCAATTCCATGTTTTTGTAACAGAAGATAATACTTCTCCTCTCCTCCACAAAATGGGGGCCCGGGGGGGGGGGAATAGCTATCACCATGCAAAACTATCGCAATCTATTTCTGGGGGGGGGAAAAACTTACCTAAACTGGACCTGGTATTTGACCGTTCAATTATTGCCCTTTTGCTTGGATTATTTAAAACAGATCTCTTGGCAAGAGAAATGTCAGCTGTCACTCTAGTTATTGATATCCTACCAAAAAAAGGACAGAACAAAATGATTTAAATGCAAGTTGTTTGTGAAAAATGTTGTTTACAACACAACATTCTAAAAGAAGCACTATACCAGTGGTGGCGAACTTTTTAGAGACCGAGTGCCCAAACTGCAACCCAAAACCCACTTATGCATCGCCAGGTGCCGGGTGGGCGTGGCCACCGAGTGGGCGTGGCCACCGAACTGTCGGCTCGTGCTCGGTCACTCGCTCACTGTCTGCTCCGACTCATGCTCGCTCTCAAGCTGTCTGCAGCAAATGCTGCTTCCGCAGAAAGTTGCTCCTTTTATAGCCTCTTGCCTATTCCCAGACTGCGCATGCGCGGAGAGGAGGAGGGAGCAGCTTGGCCCAGCAATGATTCGCGTGCCACCAGAGACGGCTCCGCATGCCGCCTGTGGCACGTGTGCCATAGGTTCGCCACCACGGCACTATACTGTACGATCAGGGAGACAAACAATTCTGCTGAAAAGCAAAAGCGATTAAATTTACTGAAAGTGTTTATGAATAAGCCAGCAGAATAATACTAACAAACCCCATCACCATCAATGCTAACAAGCCTAAAGCAAAACAAAGCAAAGATCATTATTGTTCATTGTTTCTGTACATAACGTGTCCCTTCAATTTAATTTTAAAATCTAATATCGATAATTACTAATTGTAGAAAGGGACTTCCGGGTGGGGAAAATGAGAAATGATGTGCCTACAAACTGTGGAGACAAGGCTGAGGGGAAGACTAGTGATCAAGTGATAACCCTGAGGCAGTGGAGTTTCTCTGGATAAGGAGAAGCCAGGAAATTGCCCATGTGCACTTTGGAAGGAAGCTCCTTGTGAGGAGATCTGCAGAAGTTTGCAAGGCTCCTCACAAGTATGACCACTGAGAGCCAAGGAAGAAACATCAGGCTTACAGCTTCAGCAGAACCTATTTAAAGATGTTGGGGTCGCTCAAATCCCCACATTCTAAAGCACATTTGAAATATAACTTTTTTAAAAATAAAAACCTAGAGAGATCTTCTGAGCAGAACAGCATAAGGAGGGTTCCTTTGACCAAGATTAAAGATTAAAACTGAAACTAAATAAAAACAAACAAGGATTTAAAAATAATAAAAAGCAAAAAAGCTGGCTAAGAATTTAAAGTAGGAACACTTAAAATGAATTCAGTTTGGAATTACCAGTACTTCAAACTCCTGTTGAAATAATTAAATAATAAAGTTCCGTGAGGGAAAGGATTGTTTAGATTTGCCAAAGAAAACAATTAGTTTTGTTAAGCAAAGAGATAAGGGAAAGTTATGAAACATTATCTGACTATAAAACTACAGAGTGCTAAATGGGTCCAAAGAGTTGAGGATACAGAGAGAAAGCGAAAAAAAATAAAGAAGAATGGATGGAGGAAAAATGTGTAAACAAGGAAGAAAATATTAATTTAAAAAATTGAAGAATCTGTACTGAAGAGGGGGGGGTTGAATAAAAGATGAATAAAAATGAAGAATCTCCAAAGCAAATAAGCACAGAAGTATTGAACCAAGAGATTGAAAAAGATTTTGACAATGTGACAATACTACTTGATTCAAAGGTGAAACAATTCTGTTTGAGATGGACAGCAATTGCAGGACAATCTAGTGAAGATATTAAAGAGAAGGTTGATAAAACCTTAAAAAAAATTCAATATGGAAGAAGATGTGGATGCAAAAGTGAATCAATACAAGAAATGAAAAATCAAGAAACGCTCCAAGAAATATATCAGTGCACCTTGTTAGGAAGAAGCTAAGAGACCAGTTCCTACAACAACATCTCAATATTAAGCAGAGGCTTATTAATGGCAGAATACTGCAGAAGAGAAAAGAAAATATAAGTTTGATCAGGGATAAGATAATAAGTATCTTTTATAAAAGTATAAAAGTATAAAAGTATCTTTTATAAAAGTTCTGGAAACCTTTTATGAACCTTTGGCTGAATATGGACAGAAATGAACTGATGATTTTTAGATTTGCCACATGAAAAGGGCTGGACATGGGAAGAAATGAACTATGTGTGCAGTTTTAAATAATAAGTTTATATAAAATTGCTACAAAGATCAAAAGTTGTCTCTTTATTTTTTGTGCATTTTTTCCTTTCCTTTTTTTTGAATTTCACTTTCAGTACATCCTATTATTTTCATTTTATTAGTTTAAAAATCTTGAATAAAAGTTATATAAAGATATTGTATAAAAAAGCCCATCTCTACTATTTAGGATTAAGAAATAAATCCATGTGCATTCTTATTCCACATGTTTATTCTGTAAGGATGGAATCACATCAACAGCAAAGAACTTGATGGCAACTTTGATTATTTTATGTCTTCTCTTTTCACACCATTGTAATGCTAAGCCATTATATGCAAACTTTTCACACCATTGTAATGCTAAGCCATTATATGCAAACCCTGCCAGTTACCATATTAATCTACTACAAACAACAATTAGTAGCAGAATTATTCAACAACATCCGTATTCATTACTGTACTTTTTTCCGCCAACACATCACGCTTATCTTCCAAATGTTGGCATGGTGATGGATGGTGATGGATGGATGGAGGGATAGATGATAGACAGCTAGATGCATAAATGTGTATCTATATCGTCTATATCAATATCTACTATATTATCTTCCCAGATGTTATAAATCAGTGCTATCCTGCCTTTGCGAGAAGGGAACTGACACCAAGCTGGAGATATTTTATTTAAAGAAACCTACTAAAGATGAAGGAAACAGTCCAATAAAATGTACATTTAGGCCTATTTTCAATTTGTCAGAACTTTCTTCTTTAGAGCAGAAAGGGTGAAACTGTCTGGCCTAAGAGAAATCTCTTCCTTTTATGCCAAATAGACCAGGCCGATCTTTTTCAGTTCTTTTTCACGTGTGGCACAAAAAGAACTGAGGAGCAGAGGATTTATTCATAGCAACCCTTGACTTGCCATTGACAGTTACCATGGTTTCCTATAGGAAAACAATGATGCCCAGTTTTCATAGCTAAATGCTGCACCAAACGACATCTGTCAGCAGGAATGACGAAATACTTGCTCTGTGTTTTGTACTTAATATAAACGTTTCTTGCTCATAACCAGGCAACAAAGCTTTGGGTAAGTAAGATAATTCAGAGCTCCAGGAGAGGGCAAAGTGAAAGTACTAATGAGCACCACCACCTAAACCAGGCATGTCAAACTGCCGGCCCATGGGCTGGATGCGTCACGCTGAAACCGCGCCCACCCCATTGCCGGCAATGGGGAAAAAGTCGTGCAACATCGCGACTTTGACATGCCTGACCTAAACTAACATGACCATTCAGTGAGATGATGCATTTAATTGCAGAAACATCCAACAGAGCTCCTATTTAACTAGGACCACCTTAAAGGGCTTGCTCACATTCTCTTAGCTGTAGGCATAACAAATGAAGGAAGACTAAATACTATATAGTGTACGCATAAGGCATAAGACTTTCGGCCTTAAACTGCTGAACCGCATTTTACAAAAGGCCCTCACACCTGCATTTAAAAAGAAAGTGGTGGTTTAAGTTTGGTTCAGCACATTTGCTTAAGCACCAAACTTTTCACGTGAATCAAACTGTTCTTACCTTTTTAAGGCTAAAATGACATATTGACTTAGTCCAGCTATATTCAATTAGATGGCTAAATAAATTGCATAGAGCAGGGGTCTTCAAACTTGGTCCTTTTATGACTTGTGGACTTCAACTCCCAGAATTCCTCAGATAGCGTGCCTGGCTGAGGAATTCTGGGAATTGAAGTCCACAAGACATAAAAGGGCCAAGTTTGAAGACCCCTGCACTAGATGCAACTTGGCTATGATGTACGCGGATATAAATATAAGACACCACTCACTGCAGAGCCAGTCCCTTGAAGTTTACTTTGGATTCTTATGGAATGTCAGGAAGTTGTATTTTCAGATATTATAAATTTTCATATTCATAAGAACATGGTGACTTTTTATCAGCAAGAAACAGGGAGGAAATTTGCTGATCTACATAGTATTCCAAACTGTCTTGAGTTGGGTTCATCCTGCCAGTCCATCTATATGTATCCTGATCTCTTTTCATAATGAGTCAGTCTGTGTTTCTGTGGGATATGTGCATGTGAGAGAGCAAGTGTGGGACAGAAATGAATCTATCAGCACTTCTATACTACTAGCATTTCTATTCTCCAATCCCTCCCATCTTCAGATCCAGATCCTGTTAGCTGCCATAATTTTAAAAAATGTTACATGGTGCTAGTATAAAACAGTTTCTTAATTGGAAATATGTGTGTATCAAATATGAACATGTCTAATGTGCATAAGCTTCTGCAGCAAACCAAGATTAGGTCAAAAAGGCATAGTGCAAGAGGTGATCCCATGACATAGACTCCACCCTGAGGCCTGGTGTTTGTATCATGAAGTTATGGTGCATGTCTCATCGCTGCTTTCACACCACAGATCAATCATACACAGATCGGGTGTTAGGACCTTCCAGAGGGCCTGTTCCTGCTGGCATCCCAAGTTCATTGTGCTCTTGACATAACCCTGAAGAGAGTACCGTATTTTCCGGCGTATAAGACAACTTTCTAAACCCTGAAAATCTTCTCAAAAGTCGGGGGTCGTCTTATACGCCCAGTCATCTTATACGCCGGAAAATACGGGTATTCTATTTTATTCCTTTACACATGTGGTTTGGCATATTACTCATCAAGTTTTCTCTCCCCCCCCCCTCTCGCTCAAACTCTATATTTTAACTGGAAAAGTTGGGGGTCGTCTTATACGCCGTCGTTTTATACGCCGGAAAATACGGTAGATTTTTTCATGGACACCACTGCCTTCTTCCAGGATCTTTTTCTGATATCTTAGTCTCACCTATAGCCCTGTGGTTTTTGGTGGACTTCTCTTATTCCAATATTAATCAAGCCCAGTGCTACTTAGCTTCAAAACCCAGATTTTGTTGTTCACAAAGACCCCTTAATCCAGGGGTGTCAAACTGCTGGCCCGCGGGCCGGTTGCATCATGCCAAAACTGTGCCCACCCCATTGCCGGCAATGGAAAAAAAAGTCGTAATATGTCGCAACACGTCACATGACGTTGCGAATTTGACACCCCTGCCTTAATCCAAAGACCACTTCAGATATTAAAATCTAAAGTGAGATACAGTATATATCTTTCCTCTAGGGGGCGATGTTTTCCTGTTCCATCCAGCTCAATGGTAAGGATCGAAGATGAATGCTTAAGAAGAGAGAAAAGCTTGAGAAATCCTAAAGCTGTAATCTGAAGAAGTTAATTAAGCCTGGATCTGAAATTATTAAACATGCAAATAACCTTCCTGAGACAAAGAATAAGCAAGATTTAGCTTCAGATTAATAGAACTAGGCAATCAGCCACGGATTCTTCCGAGAGTAAGTTCTGTGAAAAAGCTAGACTAATGGGAGCGAATATTTTTGTCCAAAAAAAACCTGTACAATTTTATAAGGCTTAGTATGATTAAGCATGATTAAGCCAAGGAAATTAAAAATAAAAGACTTCCAAACTACTTCCATTTTTTACTTTCTTATTCCCACAAAATTTTGCCCTATGCTTTAATTAATTCCTAGGAATTTGGGTCAATAGTTCTTGCTCATTTGATAATGAATTAGGTGGCAACATTTCTTTGAGCCAAATTTTATATATATATTTTTTAGAGGAAACAACAGAATTTCATCTAACTTTACTGAACAGAAAGCTCAATAATTCAAGTTTTAAAATATTCATTTCAGTGGAAAACATTTTTTTAAAAAATTCAGTACATATTTTACAAGTTGAATCCATACAGACAAAAATAAGTACGAGTTTAATTCTGCAAGAAAACTGGGCATAAGATGGCAAATATGCTTATTAACTGAACAGTCAGATTTTATTTATTTTGGGTATTTATACTGCATGCTAAAATATCTAATCAGTTAGGCCTATTAAGTATATATAATAGACTGATTAATGAAATGGTATAAAAACACTTTAAATAATAAATAAATAAATGGACATAAGTGATTCATTTATGTATGCTTTTATACTTAATGCTATGTGTCAAGGTAATAATTTAACAGCTAACTAGCTTGTATAATGTGAGGTGTATGATGTAATGATGGGAATGACTCAGCAGGGTTTATATCCCTTTAGGAGCCTTTGTATAAAAGGAAGGCTCTGCTGCTGTGTTCTCTCTCTTCTGTTTCCTGCTGTAACTGCTGTATGTTGGAGCCTGCTGTATTAACACGTGTATGTATATTGTTCCTGGTATATGATATTGTAGATAGTGTAAGATAAACCACCATTTCATATAGACCACTGTTTACTGTCTTTACTCCTGGATTACCTCAGCGCAATAAGACTGTCCATGCTCTGACACTATGGCAGTGTCATGAAGTCAGCCATTATGAAATCCTGCAATCCACCAGCTGAAATCAGTTACAGAGTACAATAATACAATTGCCTGAGATGTCCATCTAGAAGCCATCTAGGGAGAACTATGAATACAAAGGGGAAAAAAGAATATTACTACTCACCTCCCATCGAACCTGTGCTTCAGGAAGTCAAATAGGGCTTTCTGCATCATGTCTGTCACCTTGCAGAGATCAAAAAGATTGCAGTAATTAAGATAACCGAGAAAAAAATTCCCAAGTAAACGAAAAAGGTGGAAAAGTAAGGCATTGCAGATGCTCAAATTCTATACATTAATTGTGGTGCCTTTACTGAGTTAGTTCTCCTTCAACAGACATTTTCTAGCTAGACAGAAAGAACTAAATATTCTGCAATAGATCCTGGAAATTTTCTGCCATGCCTCAGCACTTGCAAATAGGAGAACACAAATGTCACAAATTGGTCTGCTTTTTATACACAACTCTTTGGGCTTTCCAGAATATGTTGGCAATCCTCAGTTCCAGTTTACACCTGCCAGAAACTATCAGAAATGATTCTTCTTTGCTGGCTCATGCTGCAGGTTGTTCTCTGAATGAGATTTAAACTATAGAGGGGAAAATAAAGCCAAATCTTACTTAACTAAGTGCTTAAATGCACCCATATTCCTATATTCAGGATAGAAGGGCAGGACAGAAATGGAAGAAAGAATCAACTCCACTTAATTTGGTGAGAAGTAGCTTTAATGACAGCTAGTCATCGTTCCTTTTGCAAGATGCATTTTTCTGTTCTCCAAATCCCCAAGAAATTGAGAGCATTTTATTTTTCTACTGAACTATATAGGCACCAAGTCTTAATATGTAAAACCACCACCATGGCTGGATTTGCACACCCAACTGAACCGCCATCAAACAAACCACATGGTTTAGTGTTATGCATTAACCCAGCTACTATGTCTGGACTTAACCAAGCCATATTTAATATTAACTATGATTTAGCAAACAGGCCAACTTTAATCCATGTTTCATGATCCCAGCTTATATCCATAAACCAGGAATAGGTAATCCCAGTATGCATTTCTTTGGGTAGGGAAAATATTCAGGTGCTCACATCACCAGAGTAGGTGAGGTCAGAGCTAGTAGTGAACCTAACCAAAGTTCATTTCTTCTCTCTCTCCCTTTCTCTCATCCCTATACAAACATAAATGTAACTAACACAGTTATGCAGAAGTAGCGAGATGCATCAATCATGGAGACATATCCATCAGACTTGTGTATGTAAATTATGGTTTAGCAGTAGATCCAGAACAGACCACTCTGCATGGAAGAAAGGGAAGAGAAAGAGATAGCTGCCACAGTAGGTAGGTTCAATTGCAAAACACTTTATCCAAAAGTGCACAGGTGGAGTATCTCTACATTACCACTTCTATCCCCCTAGATCAGGGGTGTCAAACTCGCAACGTCACTTGACATGTCGCAACATATCGCGACTTTTTTCCCCATTGTCGGCAATGGGATGGGTGCGGTTTTGCCATGATGCATCTGGCCCACGGGGCCGTCAGTTTGACACCCCTGTCCTCAATCAAGGGTGGGGAACTAAGGCCCTTTTATGACTTGTGGACTTCAACTCCCAGAATGCCATGCTGGCTCAGGAATTCTGGGAGTTGAAATCCACAAGTCATAAAGGGGCCGTAGTTCCCCCACCTCTGCCCTAGAGGTTCCCAATCACCCTCCAACTTCCTTTGTTTTTCCTGGGTAAAAAGGGACATTGTAAACGAAGTATGGGGCTGTAGTCTCCCACCATTTTTTTCTTCTTGAGAACACCTATGGGACCTATTGCAAAGTCACTGGAAACAAAGATGGTTATAGAGGCTGGTGCTATGCTCTGCAGCAAGCCAGCTCCTTTTATGTTTTTGTTTAAAATTAATCTAACACTCTAGAAATGAAACAGTACAGTAAAGCAGGGGCCTGGGAGGCACCATGGGAGATATCTTTTGGTAATTCCAAGTGAGCAAAGCTATGTCCTTCCTCTTATGTCAGTGGTTCTCAACCTTTTTAATGCCGCGACCCCAACCGGTCGTAAGTCGAGGACTAAACTGGTCGTAAGTCAAGGACTAAACCGGTCATAAGTCGAGGACTAAACCGGTCATAAGTCGAGGACTACCCAACCGGTCGTTGAGGACTTTCCCTGCCCAGGAGCGCCGCACATGCGTGGTTCCGCTCCCTGCGCCGGCCGAGGCGTAGCTGGCAAGCGGCAGAGACGGAGCAGGCCGACCACCAGCTGGCCCAGCCCAAGGGAGGTAAGGCACCCGCCGGAAAAGGGGGGGAAATGGCGGACAAAAAAAATGGCGGACAGCCTTGCTTAGCGACCCCCGTGAAATGGTCGATCGACCCCAAATGGGGTCCCGACCCACAGGTTGAGAACCACTGTCTTATGTACCATCTGTCATGTGTATGTTTTGTTTCTGTTTTAAGACAAAAAGTCATATGAAAGATTGCTGTCCATTTTATCCGAGAAAGTATATATCTTCCTTAACAGTTACTTTTTTTTTTTTTAAAAAAAAGGAGGGAATATGTTGCAGCTCTGACAAAGCCATCTATTCCTCAAGACAGTTCCCTTTTCTATGCAAATCTTGATTTATTCATTTCATGGCTGTCTGACTACATTATCTGATTCAGATTTACCCAACAATAAACCATTAAAGTGGCTTTCCCCGAACTAGCGACTGCAGATGTGTGTGTGTCTCAAGTTTTACAGCTGGCTTGATAATATTAGCATTAAATTCAAATATATTTGTGTAGTTAGCAGATGGGGGGGGAAACATAAGACAACCTTTAAGTTGCTATAATCAGATCACACAAAGTGGTTTGTGTCGTTTAAAATTTGATATAGTTTAAAAAGAAGTCTGGAATGTCAGTTCCTACCAAGAACACTTACTTCATAGCCTTTTAGAGAAGGGCCAACTAGCACAACGGGTCTCATGGATGGGACGACATCATAAGGAGGCACATGTTCTGTCTGGGGGGAAAAATTGTTCAGTAAACACCAACTCTTTGCAAGAGTACACTAAGAAATTTTTAGTGTAAAGAGTTAGAGTTTGTATACTTACCACTTTTTGTTTTTGTTTTGCTGAAAGATAAAAAATAAGATGTTGTATAATTGCACAGCAGCCATACAAACATGAATTCGTTTGTAAAATAGCTTGGTGTGGGGAGACATCTAAGTTTAAACCCCTCTGTCTTGCTGCTCTGCTTGGGAAACGATTTCAGTATCTGTCTTCAGCTACTCCTTCCTTCCACAGGAACGTCACTACTATCACTTCAGAATAGCAGCCTTGTTCCTCACTTCCCATCAATTTTTCAGAAAAGAAAGTTGCACCTTTACTATATATCCATTTTGACTAGGAGCAGGTACCACTTTTGTGGCTGAGAATGGCAATTTTAGATTATCATCCTCATCACTTAGCAAGGCTCAAGAGGTTGGGGTTGGGTATAATAACGGCATTGGAAGGGATGCAACTGGAATTCTCAGAGGCTTAACATGCCTATTTCCTTTTTATTTCCTACCGAATTATCTACTACAATTCATCAACGTGCCACATTTCAGGGATGCGATGTCAGGGAGCTCTGGGAAGCCATTCAAGAGAGAAATCAAGGGGTACATGAACCACCAGTTGTTCATTTAGGCCCGAATAGTTCCTCTCTCCTCTCCCCTCAGTAATCCCGCTCTTGAAAGCCTTTGACAACAGATGCTTATCAGGGACCATCGTCCCCGAGATCAAAATCTCAGTAATTGACATGTTTGAACTGACACAAGATAAACTGATTAATGCTCCATGCTACCACAAGTCCCTTTCTCTCCCTCTTTCCCCAGAGTAAGAACACATTAGACATCTTTTCAATGATTGCCTTGTGCCCCACCTAAAGCGTACAACTAAAAAAGATAATATGGTGAGTAAGGTGCAAAGATGGTAACAGACTCACATTTAACATGCATGCAGACGTCATAGCTGAGATTTTAGGAATCAGAACATTTTGATATAAAATCTTTAATTTGGGGAGGGACAAGCAGAATCTTATTTGAAAATCCTTCACAGCTACTGTACAATTATTTTGAGAGCCAATCCACGCAGATGCGTTCTTTGTCCTTCTAAGAGACCCACATGACCCTCATCAGCACAAGGCAGGTTCGCATTAGAACTATAGGGTAAGACCTCCCAAACCAAAATTATTTGGAATTTATTTCCTCTGAAAACTTGGAAAGCTTACCAGTGGTAGTGGGTGTAGCTCGAAACGTACCAGACACCATTTCTCCAAGGCTTGAAGACGAATTCCCACTTGACTTCCTATATTATAAAGAACCCCATTGAATGTTTGGATCACTGCGAGAACGTTGCACAACAGAACTTTGGTACTATTTACATGTATCTGAAGGTTACATGGGCCTACAGCGCTTCCTTCCGTTCTTAATTTCAGCCTGACTGGGTAAAAAATTATATTAGCAATTACTTGGAACTTACTAAGAAGTGAAAGGTCATGAGATTTGAGATTATGGCATTAAAACAACTGCCATTATGTTCAAAGAGGCCTCAGAGAGTTACACTTAGAAGGGCTATAAAAAAATTGATTTTGTTGGTGGAAGTAATTCATGTCATTTTTGGTTCTGGTGACCCAGATTCAGGTGCTTGGCAAGTGGTGGACATTATGGCCATTGCAGTGTCCCATGGTCAGACAATCACTATTTGCGTGCTTCGCAACTAGCTTCTGACAATCGGAGTCAACAGAGAAGCCATCAGTCAAATACCAAGTCACATTCATATCATGTCTAGTTCACTGACATGACTTATCAATTGAACTGCCAGTCCCAAGTGTGCTCCTTAAGTGTCATAAATATCATTTGTACTACTTGTACTATAAGAATTGTCAATGGCATGTGGTGGAAAAAGCTTACACTAATAATAAACTTCTACTGTAACAAATGAATGCAACTAAGGATTTCTGTAAATTTCTAACTTGGATTTAAATTTTTAACTGTATTAAAAAATTTAATAAATTTAACTTTATTTTTAACCAATAGCATGAAATAAAAATATTTTATGTCGTTACATCCTCCATTCACTCAGAATACCTATTTTCAAAAATTATGATATCTATAACCTAGCCCCATATTTATTTATTTTTTAAAGGATAGACCTCGGAAGCAAAAACTATTAGTTGTAACAGATCTAAAATCATCTGCTACCAGTGATAAGGGAGTAGGTGTTATGAACTGCCAAACAGAAAATATAGAGACTGATAAAACAAAAACACATTTCAAAGTGCAGATTAAACAGAAATGAAGTCAACCTTTCCGCTAGTTCAGTGTTTCTCAGCCTTGACAATTTTAAGGCATGTGGACTTCAACTTCCAGAATTCCACAGCCAGCATTGCTGGCTGTGGAATTCTGGGAGTTGAAGTCCACATGCCTTAAAATTGTCAAGGTTGAGAAACACTGCGCTAGTTGCCAATTACTCTTCTGATGATTACCACTGACGGGCAATTTCAAATCACTTGTGCTCTTACCGTTGTTATTTTTTTAAAAAACAAACAAACTTTAAGCTAGCTTGGTCTGGGCAGCTCATCAGACTCAGGATGCCCTGAAATAGCATGATTCTTCTCTCAATGCTTCAATCAGATGATAGCGCTCCATAAACAAGGGCATATGGCTACTGAAAACTTTTATCAATTGTGAACGGATGACGGCACCTGGACTTTATTCATTTCTAGGATGCTTCTAAGCTTTAATCTTAATGAAAGATTATAGAAAAGAATTAGAAGCATGAATCTAAGGATGAATATGTAGGGATGTAAATAGAATGCCAAAACTAGCCTACTAAATGCTGGTGTGTTCCAGATGTGACTGAATTCCCATCTAGGGCAACATTATTCACTATGTTGTCTGGAAATTTTGAGGTCAAGTCCATCCTGATATTACAAGTTCAGGATCAGTGATCTAACCCTTTACAACAGACATGTCAAACTCGCGACGTCACGTGACGTTGCGCAACGTATCGGGAGAGTTTTGCCATTGCTGGCAATGGGGTGGGCGTGGCTTCCGGATAACACATCCGGCCCGCGGGCCGGCAGTTTGACACCCCTGCTTTACAAAGACCTGAAGTCCCAATTTTGTTAGCCCCCGTTTGATTAATTTCTCATCTGTCAGAAAACAAATGCCATATTTTGAGACTACAAATACTGGGCAAAAATCACTAAAAAGCTGAATTCAGCTAATATTAAAAAAGACAGTTTTGATAAAACCAGTATATTATCTTACCCTCCGTGAAAGCGTCCTCTCTTCTGTTCTTGCTGGATCCGAATATTCTCCAACCTTAATGGGCTTGGGATGAAGCCAATTTCACAACCTTCTTTAACTAATCTTCCTATCCACCAGTCATTGTTATATTTCTGCAACAAAGGAAATGTTTGTTTCTGTCTTTCCTTTGCCCTTCTTTCCACATAGCTTGGCATGCCTCGTCCTGCTCTTTCTTCCCATTATTATATTCCTCCTTGAAGGCTACATAATTGATTCCTACATAACCTCTACAATATTTTAAATCAAAGCTGTAGCTTTGCTGCTGAACTGTAACCTTTAATTTGAAGATGTGAGAAATGATTAAATCATACAGGGAGTAATAAATTAACTATCTTAATATGCAATTTAAGTTTATGTAATTATACTACCATGGACTTTTTAAATATAATTTAAAACATATCAGATTTAGTGTTGGTTCTGGCCCCATCACTTTAAGGAAAGAACCCCTCTTGTTCAATTCAAAGATCAAGTGAGTCTCCTTAACTACAATTAGTTTCACACTGGTGCTTTCAGTAGACTATTCTCCTGAGAAGTGGACAGTGTTGCCTTGGATATCTCATGTGAAGTTAGCCAGGCTCCTTGCTCCAATGACTTTTTAAAAACATTTTTTATTTAGAAAAAAATAATGAGAAGACAGTATTCCACAAAATGAAGTGCCAGCTTGGAAATCTTTATTTTACAAGAATGTACATGGCTCCCACATAAACCTTGCAAGCTTTCCTAAAAAAATAAAAGTGTTGGATAGCCGTCGCCATCTGCAGGGGACAATATATGGGTGTTTTATGAATTGTCACGGTCACCATGGGATTTTATGAATAGGGCAGACATTTGGTGAAAGTGACATGGCACACTCAAAACCACACACTCACCCTCAAAGACTGCCAACCTCTGAGCTGTATTTTATGTTGATGTTATGCTACCTACAACAGAACTTTCTGCAGATCCTTACTTTACCAAAATATGTAAGCATGCATTCATGGAAGAACCAAATTAAGATACTATTTTAGTGTTTTTCCTCTAGGTTTCTTTTCCCTCCATTTGCCAATATCTCATTGCTAAAATTTTGTATCCTCCTTTCCCATTTCCCCCACTAGTAAAAGTACATTCACACTTAAGAATGTGCAGATATAAAGCAGTGGCTTTTTGTGCCTCTATTGAGCAGATCAAGGCAATAAGGAGGTAACTAAGGAAGAGAAAAGCAAAGCGAGAGACCTGTGGTCCCACAGACGCAAGTTTAAGAATTCTTATATTATAAACACTTCATACATTTATTAATTGATAGAGTGAGGGTTTATGAGGATGTTTTGGGGGAACTGGGAAGTGGACTACCAGACTGGTAGACTGCTTTTTTAAAAAGTCTGTTCTATTCACAAAGTTGATTTAATTAGATGTTATATGAATACCAATGTTTATTTCATTAAAAGCACTCTCCATATGTTCTTCAAGGCATGCATTCATTCCGTCATTCCTTCAAATATATTAGCCACCCAACTCTAATGGACTCTGGGCAGTGTATATAACCAAAAAAATTCCATAAAAACGTAAATATAGATGTACAATGTAGTGTACACAGAAGAAATATATCTTCTTTTTATTGGTAACTGAACATGAGAGGTTTATGCACTGCAATAACTGTTGCCACTTAAGGCTGTTTAAAAGTACATAATATATTATCTAATGGATGATGAATGAGACATCTTCAATATGCAGTTATCCATTCTTGCTGACATTTCAGCTTGCTACCAAAGTGACTTTGCTTGATGTCTGAACTAGACAGTTAAGGGTGTCTGGTCCCTAAGGACTTATGATCCAAAATACACACAGCCTCCAGAAATTGCTAGTTTAAGCAATGGCAGAAACTTATCAAATCTTTTTTCCATCAACTTGTTTAGAGGAAGGGAGGGGGGCTAAGTATGTGATATAGTTGCACATTGTTCTAATGCATAATTTCTAAGCTCAGTGTCAAACGCCAAGGAGAGTATAATTTATGTCTTATTAAAAACAATTATATATACCATAAAGCACTGTGTTTCAACAATAAGAGTCCACTTAAATACTATCAAGAACCAGCATGGGGGCAGAGGCTCTCTTAAAATGTGCACCTTGTCTACCTATCAATCCAACTGCAGGATTCCTCGGGTTATTTGCAATCAATGCTCTTTGTCTATAATAATTAGAAATTAACATAAAGTTGCAATCGTAACCTAATCCTCCTGATCTTCATTTGAAAGTTAGTTCCATAAAAAAATTATTGAGAACACATCCTTTTTTATCCACAGAAAACTAACTTACAGAGCTCCACTTTGGAAATAGATTTTGCCCCGAGTATTTTTTTCGTTCCAGATTTCTCCACTGAACAAAGTTAAGACATACCCAGTTCCATCTCAAGATTGAATCTGAAAATTGGCAACTAAGGTCAAGATTCTGTACATCCTGTTTTACCTCAACTACCATTCAACTTAATGGTACTCCTGAATAATAATTAATTTGGTAATGTTGCAGTGATATAGATTTGTAATTGTAAAATTAGTCTTGCATGGAATAATGAGAAAAGCTTAGCATGAGATGGAATCCTTTCTGCCTAGTAAGGATAGAAGAGAAGGATCTCTTCTCACAAACAAAAAGGAAGTAGCAAAAAGAACTAAACCACTTACATAATAAATGTCCCGGTACTAGTTGACTATTAAAAGACAGATGGCACTGAGGCCTGATTCATATGCTACCTTTATGGCCCAATGTCTTCTAAAAATTCGAAATGCAAAGATAGTATTTTTTATAAGCAAGGCACAAATAAAATCATTTGCTCCTCATGGTATCCCAAACACTCTCAACTATTCACTAAGGAAATCCAGTAGTGAAAGGGCTGGTGTTTTGTTGTTTGTTGTTCAAGGAATCATGAATGAGATCAAACCCCACTTGGTTTCACTGAGGCTTCTCTGGCTTCAAATGTCACGTTCTCAAGTATACAACCTCTAAGCCCATGGTGGTGAACCTATGGCACGCGTGCCACAAGTGGCACACAGAGCCCTCTCTGTGGGCACACGCGCTGTCGCCCCAGTCCTAGGCCTTCAGCTGGGTTTTATACAACCTTTTTGCTTTAGGCCTCCGCCACCGTGTGCAAAAAAAAAAAAAGAAGGTTCAATCAATCAATTTCAACTTCTCGCGGGGAAAAAAAAGATCTCGCAAAGTTGGGATTGACTGAACTTTTTAGTCCCACCTAGTCTGCCGTTACCACGGCAGCCACGCCCACCCAATGGGCCACGCCCACCCGGCACCCGATACATAAATGCTTTTTGCGTTGCAGTTTGGGCACTCGGTCCCTAAAAGGTTCGCCATCACTGTTCTAAGCTGTTTGAAATGCAACTCGAGATAAGCGGCTCCTAATAGCAGTCTTTCATCCAGCCTTTACCCAAAGCAATGCCACTGAGGTAGATTGGCTTCAACTCCCAGAATTCCAGGCATGTATGACTAAAAGGCCATGTTGCTGAAAATTAGGGAGATTGAGACCCAATACTTCTTGAGAACAAGATTGGGCCAGTCTTTTCTAAATGAGTGCCGTGCTGGGTAAAACACTGGCTCTTTTTCCCACTTCATTTTGTACCTTGCACAGTCAAACCTTGTTTAGATTCAAGCTCCTGGGGGGGGGGAGGAAATGAGTATTTGGTTATATGACTTACCTCTTTAATGTGTAGGAAATCCTTGGCATCAAAAGAAATGGCAGTGCTCGGTACGGGAACATCCTCATCTAGCGCTCCACAGTAGCTCACATTAGTCTTTACAGCAAATGCTACAGGCTTGGACTAGGAAAAAAATATAGTAAGTAAGGGGAAAAGGGAGATAAGGAATTGGATAAAATGAAAAAAATAATAATACTAAAATGATTTGATTAATGCTGAATAGAAGAACTGAAATGAATGAAAAAAATCAGCAGCTCATAATCACGTCAGAAATATACTGAAACGGCAATGGCCAGTCAATCTTTGTTCATGCCCTAAAATTCAGCCATAGAATGGCAACTGAAGACATGACCATTTTTACAACTACAGTTATGAAGGTTTGATTTTTTCTGTATTATACTCTTTTTTTTTAGGACAAATGTATACGATTATGCACAATGATCATTCAGCTAATCATTAAACACTACGTGGCAATTAGATAGGCCTCAAACACATGTTTACATTAATTATTCTCTTTTTTAACAAACCCTACCTGGCTGAATTCATACAAAATAAGCTGGGATGTTTTAAAAACAGGATGCTCAAGCTATAATGACCCGCTTTGCATATTACATTAAGCTAAAAGCAAACACGCCGCATTCTAGATTAACATGATTTGTGAACCCAGCCATAGTTTCAGAGATTATGTTATTTATTTGCAATCAATGATTTACAGAAATTTATACAGGATTCAGATGACACAATAGCTTATTTATAATCAGTCCATTTCTCCTGCTGCTTCTTTTGGGTTTCTTTTGCTGACTGTAAAAAAAGGTGTGTTGCAGAGTGCCCTATTTAAGCAGTCAGCAGGAGGAAATGAGGAACTGAACCATGGAAAGATGGTAGAAAATCACTAATTGTACCAGCAGACTGAGTTACATTTCATCATCAACTTACAATAATTACAATATTAAATTACAATAATTTCTGAATCCAGCAAATCTTCAGTGATTGCTAAACTCGCTACATTTCATCACTAAATTTAAATCACTCATAAATCAGTTTCTTTTTCTATTGTTACTAGGATAGTTGATGCTATTGTTATTGTCCTAGTTGGTGCTATCTTTTGAAAGTGTCATTTAAAAATACCAAAAATATATACATGAAGAAAAAGCAGTCCCTATAGGGGCCAGCTATGAAATTTCTTGGCAAAACACACCTGATGTCTATGATCCTCCTCAGAGAAAAAAACACAAATATTAAACATTTGAATTGAGGGGGGAAATCTTTGCAATTTTGTCTTTTCTTTGCATAATGTGTACAAACCTCCACTTTGCATTAATCTGAATGGGATCCTATAACTGGAAAAATGATATGCAAATTTGCAAAATCACAATTTGGTGGCTTTTCATTTGCATATGAGTAACTTGGTTTCCCTTACATATCTCAGTAAACATTATAGCTTCAGATGTGCTGGGTCTCTGATGACATGCCTTTTTGGTGACTTCTCTGCTTTTTAAATTACTTTTCAAACAGTTTAGTTCCGAGTTCTCATTTTGTTCTGAAAAATGCTACCCAATCAGAATTACTAGCAACTGTTAGGAGTAAAAGATTATGCCTGTATCTGGTTCAGTTAATTCATCTGCTACTTAAATTAAAGAGTCATCTGCATTCCTCTGTTAATTAGTCTGGGGGGAAAAAATCTTTAGGTGGACTTTAGTATCTGACAAATGCCAATCTATTAGAGCATCTGTCCATCTGAAAAGATGCTATGATTGCATTGTTACAGAATCCAGTGAGGAAAAAGAGCCCAACTGGGAAGCGGGAATATCCTCCTGATCAGTCAAGAAGTTCACTGCAGCTCCAAATTCAACAAATTACCCTCTTTACTCTATAACAGCTTGTCTTTTATTAGAACCATCAAGAGCTGCTATTGCAAGATGGGCGGCTGTATAAATAGAATAAAACAAATGAATAAATAGTTCTACACTGCCATAAAATTTCACAGTTCAGGATAAATACTGTCGTCTTTGTCTGAAGGGCCCCAACTATATTTCAGCTGGGACACAGGTTTTTCTTTTCACGTCTTGTCCGCTGTCTGCTCTAGCTGTGGGTTTCAAAACTTGAGCTCTCCAACATGATGACAAGATATGCTACCAACATATCCACAGACATTTTTGTGGGCTGGCTGATTAGCTTTGAAAATTGGAAACTGGCTTGAACTGAATTGAAAAAGAAAGGGCCAGCATTATCTTTATTTCCAAATTGATGCCATAACTTTCTTTAGACATTGGAATTGATGGGCAGCTGCTAATCAGTACTTTATTTGCAAGCATGTCTGCTTGGCTGAAGATGACACAAAGGTAAGTGAATATGGATTACGGTTACACACATATATATATATATATGCTGGAAGAAGACTGTGGCAATCTTTAATTATACTATTGCCCAGAACATGTCTTTAAAAGTCACCAGAAACTGAGCTTGACTCAAAGGAGATAATTCATTTTTATATCCTCCTTCCAATCAGTTTATAGATGAGCAATGCTTTCCCATCAGCAGTCACTTACAGAAACCCACTCACAGTATCTAATTCTATCCAATTCACCAAACATTTTCCATTTTTCACTGAAAATAGTCCTTTCTTAGCTGCCCAATTCAAATGTTTCCCTGTGCTCTTATTTGCGCCTATATACTTTTAAACATTTTCCATCCGAACACCAGGATAGTACTAAAAACAAAACTGTTCAATATAAAAGCTAAGCCTTTCGTCGGTCAACACTACCGACATCATCAGAGCATAATGCAAGATTGCTGGGAGTCCTTCTTATGCTGCCAGGCGGCTCTGTGCTCAGCCCCTTGACCTATTTACCGGTCCATCAGTTCTGTCTATCTGGTTTCTTAAACAGCCTCCGTTCTTTACTATGTTGGTGCCCTCCGAGGTTGCTGTTTCCTTTTTCCTGGATCCAACCGCTCTCTGTTTCTGCTCACTTGCTCCCGCGTCTGTCGTCCTTTCTAGTTCTGTTCCGGGATCTGTCCGACCTTCCTTGGTTAGACTGTGCTTGTATACGTTCGGGGGAGGGGGTGTATTACGCGGCTCCGGACACCTATTGGCACAATCTCTGGATCCAGGAAAAAGGAAACAGCAACCTCGGAGGGCACCAACATAGTAAAGAACGGGGGCCATTTAAGAAACCAGATAGAGAGAACTGACGGACCGGTAACTAGGTCAAGGAGCCGAGCGCAGAGCCGCTCGGCAGCATAAGAAGGACTGCCAGCAATCTTGTATTACGCTCTGATGATGTCAGTAGTGTTGACCGACGAAAGGCTTAGCTTTTATATTAAACAGTTTTGTTTTTAGTACTATCCTGGTGTTCGGATTATTTTATGGTATGGATTTACCCAGGAGCTTAATAATCTTAATAATGCCCATCATCTGAGAAAGTTGGGCTAATGAAAGTGCCTTTGTGAGTTATATATAGCTATTTCCCCAATTAGTGAAGCTTCATTGCATCAATCTGCTCTCCGCTTACCTCATGTCAGTTAAAAAAAAATAAATCTTGGCTTTTAAATGTAACCACCTACATACGAGAGTCTGTATATATGTATGAACATTTAACAACAATACCAAGAACATTCTGTAAAGAAGGCAAAGAGTTTTGCACAAATGTTAGAGAGGTAGGGTAAGAAACCTTCTGGTGACTGAATTAATCTTTAGGGAAATTAAAAATTCTTATTTTTAAATATGAAATATCTGAGGATATCTGAAAAACACACAAAAAAACCCCTCTACTCAATTTCAGCAACATTATTATGGCTAGATTATTAAGTTAGAAGGCTTCAGGGTAAAGTGTGAAATAACAGAAGATATAAGAGGCAGAGGGAATGGCCTCGAAGGATAGGAGGAACAGATAGTCAGATAGTCCATTCCAAGAAACTAATTTGAGAAAACACCTCAGACAAGCCCTTTCCTGCTTGACATGAAGATAAAGGGAGAGAGAAGGAAGCACATTCAGATTTGCAAGATTCTGTTACTATAACCATTCCCAAAAAGTTGTTTTAGACCTAAATGTCATTGATTTCTTGGCCTAATCTATCTTACAAGGCAGACAGAAAGTAGTGCAAGTTCCAGGGGCCTTTTCAGTGGTGGGATTCAGCCAGTTCGCACCACTTCGGCAGAACCGGTAGCTAATTTTTTGTTGCCTAGGCCCAGAATGGACTTCCGGAACCGGTTGTTCACATATTTGAATCCCACCACTGGGCCTTTTGTTCACAAATATGTACAGATGGAGGAAACATAGACAGTATCACAAAAGCTCTGATTTAAAAAGGTACTTATGCTGAAAAATAACCCACCCACCCACTCCAGAAAATTACTAAACCTGTGGCTGGATTTCCCCACGGCATAATTTTTTTCCCTCTCTCTCTCTTGAAATCTAAAAGTTGGGAAAAAAATAATAAATAAATAAATAAAAGGAAGGAGAGAAGAGGAAGAAATGAGAGGGAGGGGGGATACCTTTGCTCTTTCAAGCTGAATAGCTGCTTGCTGTTCTCTCTCTTGGCGGATGGCTTCCCTGTCCTCTTCCAGAGATACATCAGAATCTGATGGTCTGCTTGTGTATGAATCTGCTGATCCCTGCAAAGAGAAGATTATTAACAAAATGATGGATAGAATACATAAAGAAGCCAAACGTGCAGGAAAAATTATCCAAGGCCAGGCATTTATTTTTAACTCTCTTTCAAAGTTATCTTTTATTTATGACACTGGCCTTTTTCTTCTTTCTGACCCGGAATAGCGCATTAACATTCATTTCCTTCTCTTTTTTTTCTTCTGAGATAAGCTCAAGCACAGAAAATACCTTTTTTTTTTCAACAGTTGCTGCTTTTGTTCAAATGTAATTCTCTATGTATTCTAAATACTTTAAATGTATTCTATAAAAGTAATGGACATAGCCCGGCAACCTATCATAGGCAGCGTTCAGATTCTGTAAGTCATGATTTATGTTCTTCCAACTTTATGCAAAGAGACACAAAAATAGCAGCCACTATTTTCATGCCCGTACTTGGCAAGCAATCTGACATATGTGAAAAATCAGCTTAAGCAACAGTTCCTGGAAGAGATCCTCTTGTTTAATCTAGGGGCTGCTTGAGTAAAGTTCAGAACTTGTTCAGATAGATAGCAACAGAATACAGATTATTCTCCATAGAAAGGTTACAGGAGCAAATCAAAACGTAGCACAACTAAATCAAATTCACTTCTCTTGATAAACTGCACAATGGCGTACACACTTTTGACAAGCATCCTGATCTTATGCAAATATTCGATGTTATCAATGAATAAATAAGCTTAGAACTGAGATCCAAATTGGGCCTCCAGTTATTTCATGTTATTCCACAATCATATCAACAAATAAAACACAGTAAGACAATCAGTATTAGAATACATATTGTGGCAACATATGAACTTGCCTTTTTTTATAAGCAAGGACTGGGCCTCCTGGGCCTTTGGGGCTTAATCTAGCCCATACAGCCTTAAGAAACAACATTCTCTTTCCTCTGATACCTTCCCCTTTCTCCAAGCTTCCTCTATTGCTAACAAGGGTGTGTAGGTTCCCTCCACCTGCATCAGTCAGGGGAAACAACATAATAATCAAGGACAGGCTGACTTTGCTCAGGGCCCCCTTGCAACCCATAGCCATTACTTAGGGTGGCCTCTTTAGAAAGGAGTGCAGAGGCAGGAGGCAGCAGTGGTGGCAATGCCTCTTAGCAAACCTGGACAGGAGAAAAACATTACTTCCTGGTGCGAAGAAAGGTAGAACACCATCCCCAACTGAGTGGCAGGAACAAGGATGTGTTCTTGCAGCCTGCCAAGTGAGCTCTGCTATTTGGGGCTGATGTGAAGCTTCTGCCTCCTCCACAGGGTTCTCCATCTGGACTCTCTCGTCTGTCACCCTGGAGCTGCACTCAAATGGGTAGTTCTGCCCTCTTGCTTTGAGGCACAAAGTTCCACTCTCTCCTTGACGTATCCCAATGGAGATGGTTCCAGGTTCTGTGCTAAGCTGCCCACTTTCCCACTTGTCAGTCATTCTAGATGGGCCAAAAATCAGGAAATGTCCTCTCCAAGAAATACTGGAACTCTCCTTTATTTACGAGGCCGATTCGGAAATAAACCTCCGTTTGGTTATCAATGACAGACACTTGCAGAGACAGAACTTTTATTATACACATTAGAAAACTACAACATGACATTGCTTTTTGACATAATCGCCATTCAAACTGAGGCACTTGTCATAACGTCTTACAAGGTTTGAAATTCCTTCTGCAAAAAAAAAAATCTCCCACCTGGGAATGAAGCCACCCTTTGTCAATTTCCTGCACGAGTTCATCGCTGACTACAGATGGGCGGCCACTTCTTGCCTCGTCGTGCACATCAGGTTTGTCCATCTTTAAACATGTGACACCATTGACATACGACACCTTACAGTTCACGATGAATCGCAGCTGCCGAAGGTTTTTTCGCACACAGGAATCGTATTACTGCACGCACTTCACATTTTCTATGGCACGGCTCATTTTCAATTGATCTAGCGCAGAGGTCCCCAACCTTTTGGGCACCAGGGACCAGTTCCATGGAGAGAGGTTTTTCTGCAGACCGGACAGTGCGTGGTTTTGTGTGCTGCCTGCATCCCACGGATGGGGCTTTGCTTGTTTGTGTGGACCAGTTCCTGGCATGCCGCAGCCCGTACTGGTCCACGGACCAGGGGTTGGGGACCTCTGATCTAGCGGATGAGTCAACTGCAACACAACCTTTTCCTTCCCCTCCTCACTGCCTACTGAACTACTGCGCATGGCGCCATAGGACAGGCGTCGCTATCCCCGCCTATTTCTCGCATATGCTCAGACGGAGGTATATTTCTGAATTGCCCTCGTATTTAGGCTATGTAGTAACAGAATCTCTAAAACCTTGCAGCATTTCCTTTTCTCTCCCTCCTCAACCAAAGAAGGTCAAGATAGGGCAACTTTCCCTCCAGACCAAGCTCATGTTTTGCTAATGGTCTTCATATCTTTGCCAGGTTCATCTATGTGGTTCTCTACATCCCTATCCATCGATGAGAAAGGTGAGGTATTTTGTTTAAATCTTGACGCAAAACCCCATGCTTTCTCTTTAATTATAATTGGAAAATACCAAACGATAATTGCTTATTTTCACTGTGACAGAACGCATGCTTTAATTTCCTCTCCATAAAATTTTGAGTTAAATTTTCAGGAACTGAATGCTCTTATGAGAAGGGGACACGCGCCAAGCTAAAGAGCAACACTGCTATTCTTTTTAATTCTTTGTGAAATGTCAAGATGATTCAGCTCAATATTTTATGTTGTTATGCACAGGCATTCATATTAAGTTTGTTTTGGTTAATGAAAACCACTTGGCTAGATAAGTGGCCAAAATGCTGAAAAATTAGTTTCATTGTGCAAATTTTTTTTTTAAAAAATGGTACATTTATATGATGGCAAACCATGATACATTTTATTAATTTGTGAATCACTGGAGACTTTTGTATCAGGCCCATGAGACAATCCTTGGTTTCAGAGTTGAACTTTCTAAGGAAGAATCTCTGACTCTCACACTATTAAAACCCATTTTACAACCATGAGACAGATGCTAGAAATCTTCAAGACCAGGATCAAGCAGCTATATGGCTGTTTGACTTGAAAATGGTGGGAGAAAGAGACCTGGATTCAAGTCTGGAGACTAACTAACCAGAGGGCAAGATTCCAGGGTGCTATTAGCTTCTTCTTCAAGTACGGCTTCCTAATTTCTCTGGAATAAATTAATTTATCAAATGTTCTCAAGTCTGCTTAGGAATGCAGAGTGGGGAAAGAGTTTAATCACCATGACTGCTTCAAGAAATCTACAATGCACCTCTTTTGTTATCATTATCATACCAAGCAAAGTTTTTTTATTGGTCTTACTTCCGCTGCATTTTTAATGTTATAGTGCTTTTCCCATTTCTGATATTCATCTGCTATTTTAGCTGATGCTGATTTAGCTATTTTTTTACTTGAATTGATTTTATTCTATCATGGAGTATCACCATTGAGTGCTGTTGTTGAGCAGCTCATACATTTTTGAAACAAATAAACCCCATTCACTGGGACTAATTCGGTTGTTGTTGTTTTGTAGAGAAACAGGGAATCCCTAATTCAGTCTCTTCTACACTGATTGATTCTGGCTCTTTCAAGTTTCAAATTCTTAAGGATTGAACATTGGACTTTTTCTATGCAAAGCATAGGCTCTAAAGCAGTGGTTCTCAACCTGTGGGTTGGGACCCCATTTGGGGTCGATCGACCATTTCATGGGGGTCACCAAGCAAGGCTGTCCGCCATTTTTTTTGTCCGCCATTTTTTCCCCCTTTTCCGGCAGGTGCCTTACCTCCCTTGGACTGGGCCAGCTGGTGGTTGGCCTGCTCCGTCTCTGCCGCTTGCCAGCTACGCCTCGGCCGGCGCAGGGGGCAGAACCACGCATGCGCGGCGCTTCCGGGCAGGAAAAGTCCTCGACTTACGACCAGTTGGGTAGTCCTCGACTTACGACCGGTTTAGTCCTCGACTTACGACTGGTTTAGTCCTCGACTTACGACCGGTTTAGTCCTCGACTTACGACCGGTTGGGGTCACGGCATTAAAAAGGTTGAGAACCACTGCTTTAAAGCCAGCTATAGCTGTTTCCCCACTGATAGTGGTATGTAAATAAATCACAATCACCAGCATCCTCTCCACTTCTCAGTTATCTTTAAAATGGTGTTTAATTTACACTGCTGCAAAGTTTCATGGAAGAACTTTAAAAACGAGAGAGACTGGCCTAACCAGCTTTCTCTTGCTGATCATCAACAATAGTACACAATAGTGATGACACAAATATTGTCAGGAGCAGAATCTTCTACTATTTGCCATTCAGTTTGAACTTACAATTCAGTCAGATTTTTCTAACTTTCCTCACTAATTTAAGGGTTTGTTGGATATATGTGGAACAAATGCCATTTTATACATACAATTATATTATTATCATCGTGTAACACAAAAAGCGTTGATTGTTTATTAAAAGTCATAATCTTAGCCAGCAAATGCTAAGCATGTGAAAGGGACATTTTACAACAAATAATATTGTACGTAGTACGTAGAAGGAGCAGACTGATGTTGATTAAATCTAAAAATTTGAAAGAGAAAATCTGAGTTGCAGTTTATCAAACAGTTCATTTCTGTCTTCTGTAGCTTGAATCTTGATTTATTATCTTACTAAAGATGTCTTAGTAATGTTAGAATAAGGTATCACTATGCATTACCAGAACAGTGTTTTGACATGGAGATTATGTCTAACAGAACTCTCAAATTGAGAATTTGGCCCAAATTGGTTCCAAAGTTAGCAGCTGATTAATTTATGTCCTTAAAGCAGGGATCTTCAAACTTGGCCCTTTTATGACTTGTGGACTTCAACTCCCAGAATTCCTCAGCCAGGCACGCTGGTTGAGGAATTCTGGGAGTTGAAGTCCACAAGTCATAAAAGGGCCATGTTTGAAGACCCCTGCCATAATGCATTTGGAAAATGTAAAGGCCCATAAAAGTGCCAAGGACTATTCCA